TTGCGTGTCGGGTCAAGGCTTGCGTGTCGGGTCAAGGCTTGCGTGTCAAGCCAAGGCTTGCGTGTCGGGTCAAGGCTTGCGTGTCGGGTCAAGGCTTGCCTGTCGGATCAAGGCTTGTGTGTCGGGCCAAGGCTTGCGTGTCGGGTCAAGGCTTGCCTGTCGGGTCAAGGCTTGCGTGTCAAGCCAAGGCTTGCGTGTCGGGTCAAGGCTAGCGTGTCGGGTCAAGGCTTGGGTGTCGGGTCAAGGCTTGCGTGTCGGGCCAAGGCTTGCGTGTCGGGTCTAGGCTTGCTTGTCGGGTCAAGGCTTGCGTGTCGGGTCAAGGCTTGGGTGTCAGGCCAAGGCTTGTGTGTCAGGCCAAGGCTTGAGTGTCAAGCCAAGGCTTGCGTGTCAAGCCAAGGCTTGCGTGTCAGGCCAAGGCTTGTGTGTCAGGCCAAGGCTTGAGTGTCGGGTCTAGGCTTGCCTGTCGGGTCAAGGCTTGTGTGTCGGGTCAAGGCTTGCGTGTCGGGTTTCGTCCCCTTAACAAGACAATATTAAACTGTACCTACAAATATTGTTACTTAAGGCAAAGTTTTGAAAATTTGATTGACTGAGAAAAACTGTAACAGAATGAAAGAGAACGACACCAAAGCTAGTGATACTAACACTATTCAGTTTGATTGTTGTATTAAATAGCTATACACATACGTATTCCAATAAGAAAACACAAATCTGCATCAACTTACAGCGCAGCAACTGAAAAGGTACAACCCTCGAAAAGTACAAATACACACATAAAGACTACAATCTTGCACTTATATAACGTCTCGTATAGGCTTAGAGATCTAGCAACAATCTCTCTCTTACTCTCTCTCTCTCTCTGACAGAAAAGCTGCAGGCTTATATATAGATTAAATCAGAACGATCTAGTTAAGAAATTCTAGAAATTGCCTCACCTGATGGCATTTTTAGAACAAATAGAGCGCATTCGAACGTAAACTACATTTTCCCAAATCAGTGGAGGGGTGGGTGAGGAGTGACACATCACATTTAATCAGGGACGTCACATCATAGCAAAACACAGGGGTTGTCACTAAACTTAGGTCTACACATATGACATAACCATATGTAGAAATAAATATCCTTTTATTAATTCAAGAATCTTCCTAAAAAGGGGGGGGGGGGTATTTTTAATANTCTCACAATAAGTATCAAAAAGCTTTTTTGTATTTTTAAAAAAAAAAAAAAAAAAAAAAAAAAAAAAAAAAAAAAAAAAAAAAAAAAGAGAAAAAAAAAAAAAAAAAAAAAGAAAAGAAAGGGGGGTGGGGTTGAATGGGGGGGGGGAGTTTGTATGTGTATGTGTTCACATTACTCTTTTGGGAGTTGCGGGGGTTAAAAGTCTCACGTTATATTCACATGGGGTCTTTATAAATTATCATAATTCAGACTTGTCGGACGCACCTACAGTTTGTCTGATATTGCTCTAGTCTACCACTGACTCGCCACACCATCCGGTAGAGATCCCCCCCCCTTCCCCCTCTCCTGTCATGCACTAGCACCCATCAGAAATCAGAGCTCAAGTCTGATACATTCTCGTGGTGAGAGATTCCTTGAAGAAATCCCCCCGGGCTCACCTACACACACGATGTACATGGGATCATTGTATCGGTGAAGGTTATTGTGTCGTGTGAGAATGTCAACTGCCAGGGGTGAGCAAGACGTGGGGGAGGAGGAGTGAGTGAAGGAGAGAGAAGGGTATGAAAGGAATGACAAACATACGCAGAGGTCAAGGTGACACGGGCGCCACTGGAGACATTCCGTCAATTTGATGTCACGTGCTTGAACGTGACACAGCGTGATCCGGCGACATTTTATTTCGAGGATAACAAAAACGATATAATCCTAACGCAAGGCAGTGGATCACGACAAGACAGTTGTCTTCGAGAGGCTCTCCATTAGACCAGTGATTCCCAAAGTGTGGCACGCGTTCCCTTGGGGGTACGGGCATGAGTTTGGTGGGGAAAGTTTACTTGCTGCAAAGGAAAAAAAAAATTTTTTTTGCTGTTAATAAAGGATGTGCACTTTTAGTTTTAAACAATGGGTACTCAGTGTTGTTACGAAAATTATAGACATAGTTATACAGATGTCGAAAGTTTGGGAAACACTGTTTAAGACCAAGGAAACGATGTCACCTGAAGGCCTTGACTTTTTAAAGACATGCACCGTACATCAATGTTGTTTGACGTGATGAAGATGCATGCAAGCAAATGATTGGGATTGGTCTAAGTGGTGCGTTGCAATCCTACAACGTGACTCAGGCGTGTCATTGACATCTTGTTGTAGAGTTTGACTGTTAGCGTTATGGTTTGCAATGAAGTATTGTCGGCGGGCGATGAGGTAAGGTCTGTAAGGAATGGTGCATGGTCTGTGGTCTCTTGGCAATGGTGTTGAGATAAGACGTCAGGGAAAAAAAATATACGCTTTATAACATGTACCGTTAAAATATGTGCGACCAACACGAGTATTGAAATAATCACACCATTCTGATGACAAAGTCATAACCTTCTTTGTGACACACGAGACTAGTCAGTCAAATAGCACATAGACAGACTCAAGATGGTGACATACGGGACAATATAGTCCAATTGCACATAGCCTTACTCCACGTGATGACATACGGGACTAATCACTCAAATAGCACATAATGTGAATCCAAGTTGAAACATACGGTGCTAATCAGTTGAATAGCACTTAGGGGTTAAATAGGGGGCTAATCAGCTAAACAGTTTATATCCTGACTCCAACCTTCTGTAGCGACATGCTAGAGTTATCTGTTATACTGTCACACATAAACACAACTGAAAGAAAGATTCGTTGTGTACATTAATGATGATATATGAACTCCCACTTGCATGACACAGTATAGTATACATCAATGATACATGGGCTCCCACTTGTAAGACACAGTATACATCAATGATACATGGACTCCCACTTGTAAGACACAGTATACATCAATGATACATGGACTCCCACTTGTAAGACATAGTATAGTATACATCAATGACACATGGGCTCCCACTTGTAAGACACAGAATACACCAATGATACATGGACTCCCACTTGCATGACACAGTATAGTATACATCAATGATACATGGGCTCCCACTTGTAAGACACA